GCCTACCCCAGTTACCACTACTGTGCATGTGTGTCAAGGACAGAAAGGCAGATGTGGCAGTGGAAAGTGTCAAAGCAGTTTGGAGAGAAAAACAAAGTAAAGAACAAAAAAGAAGAAGAAAACGATTAATCGATTATTAAATTAGTCATTGATTATTTTAATAATCGATTAGTCGTCGATTAATCAGCTCTACAATCAGCTCTACTTAAAAACAGATTTGGGTAAACAAATGGAAAGTAACTTGGCACAAAGAGTAAGAAAAAGTGTTTGGTAGACTCTTTCTTTGTAACAATGCTTCTTAGCAGCAAAATAAGCTGTTTGGCAGAGACAACCCACACTCAGCTCTACTACTTATCCCACAAATGCATGTTCCTTACAAATGTGGCACCATTTAAAAGGGAAACAAACAGGCTTTCTTTATTGCCAAGAAGCGTTGTTACAACAAATAAATAATCTACTAAACACATTTTCGTACTTTTTGTGCGAACATTGGTTGAGCCTGTATGTATAATTTTGACACTGGATCAGAGAAAACCACAACAAACTTGTGCACCAGGTTCATCTTTAAAACTCACAACTTGTATATTTTCTAATCAGTGTGAAACATAGAGCTGAAATAAATCACAGCCATGATGGAAACCTTTGATCACAGCTGTGAGTTCAGATTCTTTTAGGAGTGATAAAAGATGTCGGCTGTCAGAGGAGTGTCTGAAAATAATACGACTAAAGCTGTTTGCTTTTACATGAACTGAAGTCTTGATGTAAAATGTTTGTCTTTTTAAATGTAACGTGATGTCGATACTTTGATCTGATTTTATGTTTTTATGAACTAAAAAGCATAAAAGTGTTTTGCAGTCTGTTTCCTTCCTACAGCTGATTGCAGTAAATAGTTTCTCGAAGCCAAACAAATGGTTTTATTGTTGGTCCTGACCTCAGCCTGAAACTCTGATCGGGTCAAGAGCACTGAAACCGGCGCGGACCGGAAGCAGTGTCGACGTCAAAGTTCCTGCGAGTTTTGTGTCAACTTTCTTCTGAGGACAAATAATAAAAAACTGGTCTTTTTTTATGGAAACCCAGTGTTCTGGCTGCGTCTAGGAGTTGATTTGTTGTTTTCCAGGTGGGGAATATTTGGGAGCCAAATCCAGAATCCCTCCCACAGCTCAGAGATGTCCTTGAGAAGGACTGTTTCCCCTGATATGATTGTCTGTGCATAAGTGAGAATAAAACAGATTTGGACTGTGTGTGTGCGTGTGTGTGTAGATGTTTTTGTTACCTGGTGGGGACAGTTTTTGACCACTTTACCAGTACACAGCCTGGTGAGGACCCACTGTTCCTTACGGGGACTAGAGCCCTATTCCCTTTGGGGAAATATTGTTAGTACCTTCCTTATACTATGCACCATGTATGTGTAGTGTACTAGAAAGTATGATTTAATACATAGTTGAACTAAATTGGGATCTTTTTAGTTTATAAAACATATACTTTAAGTATGCTGTTAGCTTTTTAAGTTGACCAAGTTATACAGCACATTCAAGTACACTCATCTGTATAATACTAGTGTACTACGTATGTACTTGTGGTTCACATTTTTAGTTTGTTGAAGCAAAGTCTACCACTAGTCCACGTTTAAACAAACATGTTCACATCAGATTTCTGCTTTTTGTTCATGTGCCAAATTTTAATGGGTTGTATTTGAGGTCCTTGCTAAACCAGACAGGCCTGTATGTAAAGATTCACAGATCAATGTACAGAGTACCTTAAAAAAACGGTTCATGCTGTCTGGCCTGACACGATTAAAATAAAATGTGTTCTTGTTGAAACAGATGTTGCTGTGAGTGCATAACGCCATAGCCAAAGGACCAGAACTTGATCAATAAGTTCAAGTCAGACGTTTCACTGTTTCTGTGTGTTTTTAAACTACATAAAGATAATGCGATCAAGCACACACTATTTTCTGAAACCGTGTATACTCCAGCACCATATGATCTTGAGCAAGCTAATACACTGACAGCCAAAAAAGTCTCCACCTGGATCTAACTAAGGTTCATGATGTGGGGTTCCTGCAGGTGGTCAGGTTCAGGTTCAGCAACAGTCTGTGCTCAAAGAATGAGGTCAGCTGACCTGAATATACTGAATAACCAGGTTATTCCATCAATGGGTTGTTTCTTCCCTGATAACACGGACATATTCCAAGATGACAATGCCAGGATTCATCTGGCTGGAATTGTGAAAGAGTGGTTCAGGGAGCATGAGACATCATTTTCACACATGGATTGGCTCCACAGAGTCCATTGAGAGTCTCTGGGATGTGCTGGAGAAGGTCAGACTCTACCATCATCAATGCAGGATCTTGGTGAAAAATTAATGCAACACTGGATGGAAATACATGTTGTGACATTGAAGAAGCTTATCCAAACAATGTCACAGAGAATGTGTGATGTAATCAAATCTAAAGGCGGTCCAACAAAACATTAGAGTGTGACCTTTTTTTTTGCCAGGCAGTGGATATTGCCTCAAAGCAAATGTGTTGTGAAAAACTTTTTCTGGCACATTAAATGTAAGCATGAATCAATGGCATCACCTTATTCTGTTCTTGGATCAAGATAGTCTAAGTATCTGCACCTTGTGGAAGAAATAAGTAAAATGTAGCCTGTACGCCTATACCAAAGTACAAGTACAAGCTTCAGTATTAAAGTATAAGTCTGTCTTATTATTAATGTACGTATTAATGTACCAGAGTTGTGAAGTAATTAAGTACAAATACTTTGTTACTGTACTTAAGTAGAAATTTTGGTTATCTGTACTTTACTTGAG